TAGAGTCTATTACTTAAAACCATAATAAGAAAAGCATAAAACTATCACATGACCCACTTATAGAAAACAATCGTCATATGATTTGAATTACGTAGAGGTCTGAGATGAATATATATGCATGCATATATATATATATATATATATATATATATATATATATATATATATATATATGCTGAATAAATTCATACTCTCATTTATTATTATGCTGTCGTAAAACACTTGTCTATATGTGTAACAATCAAGATATGTACCAAAAATGCACCAGACAATGTTTACAATCAAACTTAACTAATAATATGACAACTCACAAAAAAAGATGACAAAAATGATAAAAATGCTGTTTACACGGTGAGTAATTACAATAAGTAGAAAAACTGAAAAAATTCCTTTGTTCAAATTTAAAAGTGAGATTGACATTTACAGGGATGCAAAATAACAAAATTGGTAATTAATTAGTGTAAACTTATTTCAACAGACAACTGACATAGCCTCGCCTAGTAAACTAGCTTTCTAGTTTTCTAGCCAGTCCCAAGCTCGGGTAAAGATGGAGGGTTGAGCGTAAGACTAGCAACCCTACACCACAAAAGGCTATCAAAACGCTAGAGAAACTTCAACGTACAGAAAAAATATATTAAAAATACAAAAACTTCAAATAACAACAATCTTATTCTCCACTCGAATCGGAAAGGCGAAATGACACAGCGGGCTGGTGATAGCCTTCAGGAAGCTAGTGGGCCAGCCAACGTGCGTTCGCTCGATGAAAGCAAGAATAAGAATTGGGGCATAAAAGTTCGTACAATGTACGAGACTGGGAAGGCTGCCCTAATAGTAAAAGAAATGCAAAGATATGGCATAGAAGTGTTGGGTATCTGCGACAGCAGATGGAATGGAAGTGGATTATCAAAACTGTCAACTGGAAATTCAGTAATCTGCTCCAGTCTGGTCACCCAGACGACAACCACGAACACACTGAGGGAGTGGTTATAGTGATGTTACCAGTGGCAGTCATAGCATTAATGCATTGGGAACCAATTTCATCCCGCAAGATCAAACTCAAAAGGCAGGAAGGAAGGTCACAATTATCCAATGCTACGCACAACCCTACAAACAATGCAGGACAAGACAAGAGGGAAGAGTTTTACAGACAGCTACAAACAGTAATGGACAAAATCCCGAATGGTGGCATCAAAATCCTCATGGCCGATATGAATGCCAAACTGGGAGCAGATAATATATAAGGGAACTCATCATGGGTCGACAGGTTCTCGTCTTGAGAAAGAAATGAGAACGGAGTACTCTTCGTAGACTTCTGTGCTTTCAATGATTTGGCAATCGGACGCAGCTATTATGAGCATAAGGATACACATAAAGTAATATGGATTTCGCCTGATGGACACACCATAAACTAGAAAGATTTCATCTCAATGCTGCTCAAGGAAGTGGAGACGTAGCCAGTCTGTTGGACACGAAGTCGAGAAGGGGAGCAGATGTGGGGTGAGACCATCACCTAGTTCAAGGAACCTTCAAGGAGAAGCCGAAATCCTTCAGAACAACTGGAGACAGGCCACAATTCAAGTTCAACATTCAGAAATTGAAGGACGAAATTGCATAGGGTGCATTTACTGCGGATATCTATCTGTCTGTCTGTCTGTTTTCGACATAGAACTTTGCAAGTTCTATGCGGATATCAGGGTAAAGTAGGAGACACTACGTGGCATTACTGAGGAAATCTATGTATAAGAACATTGGAACTAACTTTCTGAGGGCGATATTTAGGGAAACGTGTACAACTGTCCTTGTAAAAAAGAAGGCACAGAACAAGGAATGGCTCTCAACGAACACTTATCAGGGAGCTAATCGAAGAGAGCAGAGGATAGGAGGATGGTGAGAGAAAAAGACTCAATGCAAAGATGGACAAGAGAAGAAGCTGAATTCAATGTACACTGCACTGAATAAGGGAGTGAAGAAGAGTGCTAGAAAAGACAAAAGACAATCCTCTGACACACTGACCGGCGACTGAAGAAGAATAGGCACGCTACAGGCAGGAAAAAGAGTCCTCAGGACATTATATCAAATAACTAGGTCTCTATCCGGAAAGAGATCAACCCAGATGATGAAACCAGTAAAAGATCTTCAAGGACGCCTGGTTACCAAGGAAGAGAAACAAATCGAACAATGGGCTGATCACTTCAAAGGGTTCTTAAAATCGACCATCAACTGCAAATCGCCCAGAAATACACCACCACCGACAGCATACACAGAACAGCCTGTCAGCTGACACCAATCCTCCAACGAAAGCAGAAATAATAAATGCAATACAGCTACTGAAGTCCGGGAAGGCAGCAGGACCAGACGGAATCGCCCTACCCCAAAGCACTGAAAACGGACCCAGAGCATGCAGCAGCTGTTCTTATGCCTCTATTGCAAAAGACTTGGAAGGAGGGAAAGGAACCTACCATTTGGAAGGACTACCTTGCCAAGCCACCAGAAGGAGCGATTTACGCCTCACTCCTCAAGAACTGGAGTGGAATAATGCTCTTGTCCACGCCAAGTAATATACTAAGTCGCATCATCCTGGAGAGGATAAAAGATGCACTGAATGCAGAACTCCGCCCCACCAACCGGGACAAGCTGGATTGAGGAAAGGTAAATCATATGCTAATTGAATTGCAGCTGTATGCATCGTTATCATTGAAGGAAGCTGTTCGTCTGTTTTCGACACAGAACTTTGCACATATGTGCGGAAGTTCAATTCGCAACACTCCATGTAACACACAAAGCAAGAGAAGAGATGCATAATAGAGACAGTAAACAAAGGTGTGAGACGAAGGAATAGTAGTAACGAAGAACAAAACAGTTTCATTGCAAATCATAAGTCACAAGGAGTGGATGCATCTGCACCAGCCATTGAGAACGCTTTTGAGCCATATCACCAATTGTTTCCAACCATTGGTTTTTACCGTCCCGAGAATCCCAACCAGGAAGTCTACACCTTCCTGCACGGCTGGCTTAGACTAACTGCTGTGGATTTCATTGACTGGTGTCATGTTTTGGTTTGACCGCCACTAGCTCTTTTCCAGCCCGGCACTATGTCAGTTAACATTGCCCGTCGAGGAAGGCGATGACCAGGCATACGTAACACATCTCCTAACCATCTGAATCGATGTAGCTTCACAGCGTCGTTGATTGATTTCCCCTCCTTACCTAGCACTCGACGCCTAACTGAAGAAAGCATAGAATGGCAGTCAAACGTGTACCTCAACTTCATAGACTTCAAAAAGGCTTTCAACAGAGTTGACCAAGATGTAATTTGAAAACTGCTTCTACACTACGGCGTACCTTAAGTCTATGTCAACCTAATTCAACAGCTGGTTATATGACAATGCTACGTATCAGGTAATCCACGACGGGAAACTCAGCAAGGCGTTCGAAGTGCATACAGGAGTAAGAGAAGCTGGCTGTCTATTATCACCGATGATATTCCTAATTGTGCTGGACTGGATTATGCGTCAGACTGTTGAGGGCGAGGAGTAAGGAATACGCTGGACCACCAATAAGAATACTCTAGAAGATTTGGATCTCACGTGTGGATGATATATGTCTAATGTCACACAGACTCGAAGAATTGGAGGCGAAAACCAACAAACTGGCTGAAGAGGCAGCTAAAACAGGACTGCAGGTGAACACAGAGAAGACGAAGGTGATGAATATAACTAAACAACAGCGTTTTCCAATGTTACTGTTCTTTCTCTCGCACATTCCTGCTTATTATAATTCTTGGGGATCTTTTTTATGTTCCCTTTCTCCACCTTTTTGTGGTATATGCAGTGTGATGAATTGAACTACTGCACCTCTGGGTAAAGTTCTATGTTGAAATTCAGTCAGTCAGTCACTTAGACGAAATCCTGGAAGTTTGACTAGGATGTATCCATTTTATCATGTATGCACTGAATTCATCCCCTTGTTTATTAGTGTATTTTACGACTTCTAGTGATAGGATTTATCCTTCTGTATGTCGCTTATTATTATTTTGCTTGTCAATAGGCTAATCAACAAAATACAATAATATATCCTCCTATCTGAATACTTTAAATCATCATAAGAAGTATTGCCAGTTCACTGAAACAATGCAGTTCAATATGATCATAACAACTTCGATTAATTTTCAAAGTGTCAGTCTTGTTCGAATCTACATTTCACGTAGTTATCCAATAACTTCCTCTTTATCTATTTTTCGCCATACATCTACTGTTCTATCATCTTTTATGCTATATTTCGATCATTCACATAATACCTTTAAAAGTTCAAACAAACTCATCCGCTAATATATACTTCATTTTCTTTCTTTAGAACAATCCGGAGAACAACCACTGAAAGCTGTTCACTGAAAAGATGGTTACAATCAACAACACACACACATACACAACAAGATCATCCTATTCTGCTGTAGGTTACACTTTTTTAACGACATAATGAACTCTCTAACCTGGTACCCACTATTCCAATGAAAGCCTCTCTAAGGAATTTTTATGACTACAATGAATGATATTCAGCAGACATATACATATACATATATATACAGTCATCGTTTACATTGGACCTCTTATTCTTGAATAATTTCGTTGTCTTATTGCCACAAGCTATGACGCCTTGAATTTCGTGTTATACTTCATGGAATAACTCTCTTCCATACATCTTCGTCTTTTGCAGTGTTATTACATTCTTTTTCTCTACTTTTATGTATGCTTCTCAGAAATCAAGTGACTAGGACTGATGGACCTTTTTCCAAACTTATGCGTTGATAATTTGGTCAGTTATCATTACAATGTATATTAATGGTTGGTGATGGCGTCTATGGTACATAATCTGTCATGTTTTGAATGGCAACTTGAAACACATCCATCATTGTTCTAAATCTTTTCATTCCTCATTACACAAATGTTACTGAATAGTAATATTATTATAAACATTACCCACCACTAAACGTATCAACTCACCCATAGAAAGCCAATACGGAACACGGAAACTGGCGGAAAGAACTTGATTTTTCAGATGAGGAAGAGACTGAGCGTCAAACGGAAGAGCACCACAAACCATTACATAAAGGATTACACCAAGACTCTAAAATGCAAATGGCATAAAAGATGAATTTATATATATATATATATATATATATATATATATATATATACATTTGTTAGCATATGACTATGTCGTGTTTTGGCAAACAATTTCTCAAAGGTTACCCTAATCGGCTATCATCGGTACGTCTCAATGTTTACCATGGTGTCAATATCACAGTATCAGCATCATATCTTGACTGATTTACATGAATTAAGTGGTCTATAAATTAGTCAATTCACCCAAAACCCTATTTATACAAACACTTTACAAAGACTAATTAAAAAACAGTTGGAGTCGAATGTACTACACCAAACGAATACTGCAGACGGAGGACTTGAGGTTACCGTAGCAACGGTAGCGCAGTGGAGTTATTACGCCAGCGGTGTTTGGGCTGAGTGTAGTGTCTTTAGTAGAAGGTGAAGTAGATCAATTGAGTTAATGAAACTTTCTCATCTAAGGTGTCTAGGGCAAGTTTTCCATATGCCTCTAAATAGCTTATCTCAATGAATTATATCAGCTTCAGTGGGGGAAATCATCATACATGCAAATAAGTATTATATGACTGATAACCTGAGCGATGCAGAACATCGGCTCCCTTATTAAGTTCCTAAAAAAAGACTGGGATCTACAATTGGAAAACTCTATAATTTACGCTTCAATGTACACCGCATCAGCGCAGATATTTCCATACAGTACCTCTGTCTAAATAGGAGTATTACGTTTTCTTTATCAATGCACCTTCTCTTTTGGTACATTCGACTACCTACCTCTGAACTACCTTTCAACATGCTATGGTGGAGTGGAGCGCAAACCGCATTACTGGACAGCAACGTCAGCTAGTCTGTCGACTGGTCTTAACAAAAGTGGTTTACTCAGTAGTTGCTGAAGGGTCACCAACCATATAAATACACACAAAAAATACAAACGCTTTACCAGTATTGAAAAAATGTCTCATAACACAACGTGAGTAATGGATGGTATTTTTAAATCAATAATTTAATTGCGAAACCGTCGAGTACTGCCTTTGCACAATTACTAGTATGGTATGAATGACAGTGGGGCTCAAAGTAAACACAGTAACTAGTGTAATGTGTGTGTCTAGTCCTATCTTTGGTGCAGACTAAATGGGGCTACCATACTACGTGGTTCGCCACCATGGTGCACTGTGAACTGTTGGTATTAGATAGTTGGAGGCCAACCAACTAGCACGAAGCCTAAGTCCAAGGCTTCCTGACGACTGCCTCATACCATCTAATACACAGAGGCTACAGTGTAAGCATCAAGTCAATAACACAATTGTTGCGAACTGTTGTTTAGAACTCAGTGACTCAAAACAGATTTTTTATACGCCAGGCTGTCTGTCTGTCTGTTTTCGACATAGAACTTTGCACAAATGTGCGGAAGTTCAAGTCGCCACACTCCGTGTAGCACGCGAAGCAAGAGAAGAAAGTACAAGATAAGCATAATAGAGACAGTGAGCAGAGGTGTGAGACAAAGGAGTAATAACGAAGAACAAAAACGTTTCATTGGAAATCATAAATCACAAGGAGTGGATACATCTGCGCCACTGAGAACGACTTTGAGCCATGTCACCAATTGTTTCCAACCATAGATTTTTACCGTCCCGAGGACCCCAGCCTGGAAGTCTACACCTTCCTACGTGGCTTAGACCAACTGTTGTGGATTTCATTGACTGGTGCCAAGTTTTTGTTTGACCTCCGCCAGTTTTTATCCAGCCTGACCCTATATCCGCTAACATTGCTCGTCGAGGGAGGCGATGGCTTGGCATACGTAACACATGTCCTAACCATCTCAGTCTTTGTAAATTCACGACTTCGTCGATCGATTTCCCCTATTTAACTAGCACTCGACGTTTAACTGCAATGTTGCTCACCTTATTATGCCACTTTACACGGGAAATAGAGCGCAGGCACCTATGATCAAAGACAGCTAGTCTTTTCATGTCTTCCTCTCTCAGTGGCCAGGTCTCACAACTATAAAGGAGGACGGGGCGGACTGATGAGCAGTACACCCGCCCTTTGGTCAATAGTCGAACATCTCATCTATGCCAGAGTCGGCGTAAACTGGCAAATGCGAAATGAGCCCCTTGTATCCGTGCTGAGATTTCGTCAGAGATCAACCCGTTGGCGTTGGCTGTGATGGTACTTCCTAAATAGGTGAAGCGGTCAACGTGCTCTACCACTTCACTTCCTATTTTTAAACTAGGCGTCGATGTAGTCCAGTCCTGTAACATCATCTTGCATTTGGCGGGAGCGAATCGCATGCCAAACATTCGTAGATTACGGCTCAAGGTGTTTAGAAGACTCAGCATTTTTTCAGCGTCCTCGCCTAGTAGGACTATATCGTCTGCATATTCCAAGTCAACGAGATTAGTCCTCGGTAGCAAGTGAATCCCTGAGTCGCTGAAGTTACTTAGGGTTAAGTCCATTAACACATCTATGATGAAGTTGAATAGAAAAGGGGATAATGGGCATCCTTGACGGACACCACTAGTTGTCACCAGTTCAGATGACAGCTCGCCGTAAGCCCTCACCTGGCTGTATGAGTACGAGTAGAGTGCCAGCACTGTAGTCGTGCAGTTCTCTACACCTGCTCAAGCAATACCTTTCAGTGGGAGATGACGATGTTAAATAATTGTCCAGATAAATTTAAAAGGAGTCGAACTTGAAACAATCAATTTTCAATCAGCTAGTAAATGACTAAACAACTAGATTAGAGTGACGGCTCACTGAAAAAGTCTGTTAACTTGGAAAATACTTCAACCGTGAGACATCAACAAAGAGGTATTACTTACCCAGATATCGGCTTTTACGCCAATATATGGCTCGCCTAAAAATATTTCCGGTGCAGCGTATGGAGGACTACCACACCAGGTATTTAGCAGATGAGTAGGTGAATTAAAATGTGTTCCAAAGCTGAAATCTGGAGTGAAACAATTCAAAAATACCACCATAAGTAATCACAGTAATACATAGATGAAAAATTAAAATATCAATACAAAAATATAGCAATAGTTGATTCAACTCATACACTATCTACTTTTCCTATAAAGGCGATTTTCATCATATACTGTTAATAGCTGGATAAGTATTCAGGGCACCCGGTTAATCGTTTAAATGTCACACACCAATGCTCTTCAAGGCGACCAAACCAGGAACCCCGGACACTCAATGAAAAACTTATTAATCTTTGAACCATGCAGTCAAATCCTGACTGTTAGACCCTTTTCACACAGACTGAGAGAGAGAGATGTAGGAACACACTGGATACTATAAAGTGATCATCTCGGTAAAAGGAATAGCGTACATTATTAATATCTAAAATGAGGTCACAAATTTAAGTGTGCGAAATTCATTAGTACGACAATGAAATTGGTGCGTCGGTGGCATAGCGGTTAGGACGCTCGCCGACCATGCACACAGTCCGGGGTTCAATTCCCGGCCGACGCACTCCTTTACCTCGCTAAGCCAGAAATAATGCTGGTAAAGAGGAAAAGGTTGGGCATGAGGCTAGCAACCCCATCCTGTAAAATAAACGCTGCTACAGAAACTTCGAGTCACTAGCTTGAAGCCCTATGTTTCACTGGGGAACGTGAGGCAAAAAACAAACAATGAAATTGAATGTACGCTGATGAATACACCTCTCAAGTATAAATGAATTGTTGCTAATAGACAAAATTATTCTGAAATAACAGTTTTGCATATTTTTCTTACACTACATTTGTGCTTCGGTACTTCTTATAGACTCATCAACTAAATAATATAAATGACACCAGCTGTAAAACTTCATTTGATTACGAAAACGGGTTGAAATTTTTTACTAAAATCATTTGAATTTAATACGGTCAGGAAAATTCTAACATTTAACTATTGAAACACGTATAGATTAAAGCAACCAAGACGAAATAAAGACATTTAATAAAAAGTAATAAAAAGGAAGATGATGAAATAAAAATAATAGTCTGAAGTTGCGAAAGGGTTATTGTTGGACAAAAGGGGAAGTACAACAAAGATGGCAAAAATAGAGTACAAATGAGTGCGAACAACTGTCATTCACTTTTAGTTGTACGATCTAAAGCCTCTTACCATTGACTTCTATGATTATCGTGTGAACTGTAGTCAGACAACATGCATTTCCGCATATGCATTAAACATTAAGTTTCCACCTGGCCAATCTTTACTCTCATCCAGTTTATTCCGACTTCCCACACAGTAAAGCTGAAGCAGACAATGGGTATGCAAGGATAATACACGTTGCAGACACCCGATGAGATGGGGACTTGTGACTTTTTATGTTACCTAGGAATGTATGACTAAATCTTACAATGTTCACCTGGTTGCTCCTTGGAATGAGGACGACACTATAACTGTAAATTCCCGCTAAATCACATGATCATGTTATACATCGATTCAGTGAACTAACAATACACATGTGAAAAAATTCGTCCAACCTATGTTTAATGAATAATACACGTATGTATAACTTTATGTTAGCTTGTACACGTGCGTCTCCGTTTAAACGCGTACAAATAGTAACAAACACTAACATATCAGTCAGTTAAATGGCATTTTTTTTTCATTTTAATACTGCACATGAATTCACCATGCTGATAACATGTCTCGTTCAACTTTTCCGTGTCACATACTGAATAATTTCATCCTTTGTAAACTAAAAAACACTTCCAATATATGGTATTATTGTACGAATAACTACGTCATACACTTTTTCTGTGGGCTGTGGGCTGGTTTTTCAATCTTAAGTGGAACAGTCGTAATGTGCACTTCACCAACCTGTAACTTATTAGGTATTTTTAAGGTTCAAAACATTTTAGCTATTGTTTTAAAGAGCCGGCCACAGTAGGTTTACAGCACAATGATCATAATTCAGAATCCTAAATTTGTTGTAGTTATTTCTCAAATAGCTTTTTATTTAAAACGGTAGTGAATTATTTCCTAGAAACTTTAATGGTAAATTATGTGTTCGTCTTGTTACGCAGTAGCCCACTATCATTTTTGATAATCATTCACTTTATTTGCATCTTCAGGACTGAGACACAGTTTTCGGTAAAAAGGTATGCGGTTGTTGTAAGCCCAAATTTTTATCAGTGAAAATATGTATTACTCTATGTTTTTACCATATGAAATTATTATATGACGGAATTATACTCTACCAGTGTCCGAATCCTATTTTAGGAGGAAAGCAAGATGCTGAAGGTGGGTGATGATAGGCAGAGCTCAATGTACTTTTGGAGGTGTGTAGGCAGTTACCACTTCCTGGCCGCTCACACCGTGAAAATGAAGATGCTGGTAAAATGCAATCTCCTGAACACCTTCATCAACAATCTACGGATATTCAGCATGAGATTTGTTACTGTGAAATGTAAGATGATACTACAGGACTGGATTACATCTACTCCGAGTTTAAAGATAGTGAGTGAGGTGGTGGAGTGTGTTAACCACTTCACTTATACGGGAAGTTATATCAGCTCCAACGGGATAGTCGCTGAAGAAATGTCAGCACGAATACAAAAGGCTGGTGTAGCATTCGCCAACCTGCATCATCTCCAGCGTAGACGTCATATCCGGCTATCGATCATAAGACGTGTGCTGTTCAGCAGTTTTCTCCGACCTCCTTTATGACTGTGACACATGGTCAGTGAAAGTAGAGGACATGAAAAGGCTAGCCGTCTTTGATCATAAAGGTCTCCGTTTTATCTCATATTAGATAGTGTAATAGGGTAGTATTCAGGTTAGGTGTCGAGTGTTTGGTAAAGAGGGAAAATCTATCGATGAGATTGTGAAGCTACATCGATTGGGATGGCCAGGACATGTGTTACGCATGCGTAGCGATTGCCTTTGTCGACAGGAAATATTAGCTGACACAGGAATAGGATCAAAAAGAGCTAGTGGTCGTCAGACCAAAACATTGCATCAGTCGGTGAAATCTGTAACAGTTGGTTTGAGCCAGCAACGTTGGGAGGTGCAGACTGCCTGACTAGGGTCGTCAGGATTCTAAGAACCAAGTGCTAGAAGCTGTTGGTAATATGGCTCAAAATCGTTCTCATTGGAGCAGATGCATTCACTCTCTGTGATCAGCCATAACCGAAAGAACCCTTTGTTTTTCTATGTTACTGTTCTTTCTCCTTTACATTTCCACTTATTATAGTTCTTCCGAATCTCTTTTCTATTTTATCTTTGTTTGTGCTTCATGGAGCGTGGCAACTCGAACTGCTGCACTTCTGTGCAAAGTTCTATGTTGAAACCAGTCGGTCAGCCAGACCAATAATATTGTTATACCAAATTACCTACGGACAAACGCCACAGTAGAGCTGGAAGTAGTTAATAAAAATATACTTGTACAGACCCACTGAAATAGAAACCAAAACTTGTGATGCTTTTCAACCTTTCACGATACTGTTATTCAATGAAAAAACGATGTAAATTGTGTGAGTTTAATCACTAAAGGAGAGGCTTCCACGAGGATACAGAAAGTCAGGAATTTAACTCCCTACTTTTATAATTCATCACTAAATAAGTGTTTAATTTATTTACTTCTATAACAACAAATCTACCCTAATATCTACAAAAATTACCTACTTATTAATGAATCATACTTAAAGCAATCCCAATTAGCATGTGAATGATTTCAGAAACAGAAGGTCGGAAACATTATCAAACAGCACTGGAATACTTACCTACTAGTTTAATATTCATTTCTGAATCTAACAATATATTTTCTGCCTTGAGATCTCTATGCACTATACCACATGAGTGTATATAGTCGACAGCTGAGAGCACATCCAAAAATTTCACCCGCGCATCAACTTCAGAGAATCGTCCATACGTAGCTATGTAGTCTTTCAGACGAAGTAAAACACAAAAACTTTAATGTTAACGAATATAACAGAGTATCATAATAACAATAAAAATATAGTATTTACAACAGGTGATATGGAAAAATATGTAGAACATTAACACCACCTCATAATTCGTCATATTAAAGTATGGATCTACCAAGGTACACAAAGGAAAGTTACCACAAGTAAACATATGTATAACAGGAACCGACCATTGTAAAAGCATGATGATACAAAGTATGATATTTACTACAAGGTACATTATTAGCTCTCAAAATTACCAATATATATATAAATCATGGATAAGGCAGGTATTCTAAAAACGGTAAATCATATATATTGAACTTTGTGATAGCACGATTTATTAACTCCAACAACACCGAATTACTCATCGCAACTACTACATCGCCAGTGTAAACTTACAAAATAATTAACTCATACTTCGTAAAACTCGAGAATTAGTTCCAACAGTGGTTACCTGTAATAACAATACTACCACTTTAGCATACTTTAGTTATATTCATAACATCTTTTTTTGCTGAAACATGGTAATCTGCACTTTCCACACACAGTACGAATTGAAGTCGAGGAGATAGACAGAAAGACTCTACAAATACGATTGCAGAGCTACAAGATAATTATGAAACAAAATTCGGGACGTCTGTAAACCACAATATCTAGTGTCTGATAGGGAAACAGAATTGATTCTTTTCATGTAGTTCATTTAGGGAAAAAATTTAAACGAAATGTATTTAGTGCGGAAAGTGAGAGTTTGAGATTCCTGGATGAAATATATATTCTGAGTTGTTTACGAGTTACAGCTCAACAATTATCTCCTCCCGCTTTACACAGTTGTAGGTTTGATTTAGCAAAATGGTAATCTACAAGCCTAGGCACTCATGTTGAACCTAATAAACGAAAGCCAAATTGAACTCAACTAAGAGGAAATGTTTTGCACTTTTTCTTGATTTTTTGCATACGTCAGGGGATTTCTCCAAAAAGTGCTCCTTACTGACTGTCCGAGTGACAAAGCAATTCTGATTAATACAAAAACGGCCGACTAATCGTAAGGTTAGCACACTCGGTTATTCGTTATGTCTACTGTCCTAGGTAAGACTCAGTTTTAAAAACATTCTTTATAACTCAGTGAACTGAGTATTCCTTCAAACTATGCACTACGAGGTAAGGCTTGCCCTCAACTACTGAAGTAGTTATTTCTGCTTGACGTGTGTGAAAAGTGCTGGCATTTGAATCTTTGGCTTAATAACGTATACACTGAAATCTAATAACCTGTTTGCGGAATTTGATTTCAGTCACACAGTGACTTGTCCATACAACAGACGTAATTTAACCAGTGCAGTAAAGTGAATACAGTTTTTAAGTTGCTTTACTTTAAACTCAGTCCGCTGTCTTATGCACAAATATTTAAAAAAGTGAACAATTTAGGATAACTCACCAAATAATTCTCCATTTGAAACATACTCCATTACCATACATAACAATCTTTGGGTTTCCATAACCTGATACACGCAAAATAATAAAAAAAATATATTTTACCTGGTAAAGTTTGACAACATTTGAATGGTGAAGTTCCTTCAATATATCCGACTCCCGATACACTTTCTTCAGGTTTTCGGGACTAAGACAGGATTTGTCAATAATTTTAATTGCAACCTAAGGAAGTTTAGGGTTAAGAAGACGAAAGTGAATTACGAAAATCCCAGTTATTGTATGCCTAGCGAGTTTGACCGATGAGAAAATACCTTTTCCGATAGTTCTTTCAATGACATAAGTGCCTAGCTTTGGCTTTGATGATTGCTGTAAATCGTCCGGCAAATTCATTGTTGGTGTGTCACTCATAGTCGACGTCATTTTATTGAAGTTCGGATATGCTTTACTGTAGGGAGTGAATTTTTTCGTAGCACAATCAGGAGCAGCACAGACACAGAAGTTTCCCGAATCTTTATTTTGACAGAATCTAGAAGAATCTTGAGATGAGACGGAGCTTCCGCTGGTAGCAGACCGTGCGTCACAAGTAGAATCAGTGTCACGTTGACCGTGCTGGCTCGCATTCATTTTTCGCTTAATAAAAATCCGTGAACCAAGTGAAATCACCAATAGCAATATATGTAGACAGTGTTATGAGGACCAAATAGTAGCGGATTAAAAAAGGGATTTTAGGGTATTTGATAAAACGAAGCTAACCAAGCATTCGAGAGAACAAAAAATCTCTTGCAAAAAAACATGCAAGACGTGTGAATTAACTTGCGATTCAGTACAGAAAACAAATGACAATAAAGCTGACAGATGAAATAACTAGTTTAGACACAGAACGTCTATAGAATCCGCCAGTTATATGCCAAAGCAAAAGCATATGTTAATACGTCTGTCCAATTTACAAACATATCAATATATCCATCCAAACATATGAACAATTATAGACATTCCACAACAAAGATGACCATACGAAAAGAATCGCGCGCTCCACAAGACGTTTAAAAAGTCCGCTAGGACTATACAATACTGACCACAAATGTATTTAGGAGATTAAAACGAACATAGTGATCAGTGAAGGAAACTCGAGAAGGAAGCTATAATACCACAACTCCCGACCATATTGTGACAGGCTTAAGAAGCTATAATTACTGGTATTAGATAAAGTGTGAAAAGAAGATGAAAACTTCATATATTTAAAAAACTTAGAAGTCTGGAGTAGAAATAAACGTTGCCTTTGTATATTTACACACCTGGTTTTTGTTGTCCTGTTTAGGCCTAAGGAATCATTGCCATTGTCTATTTCAGCTAAAATGAAAATATGGGATTTTTTCTAGGCTTCCACATTCTGAGTAACCAATTTTTCTCCTATATTTTCGTGGTAATGTATCTTAAAATTGTTTTAAAGTACCAGACGAATTATTGCAAAGAAAAACACTCGCCGGAACAAACCATACGTGTAAAAATCTTTTTTGGAGGCCTTTCGGGTTATATGCTTTCGAACAGTTTTCAATTTTCTGGTAATAGATTGAGTACAGACAGCCGTAAATATTGTGCCAATGAATTATAAATATAATAATTATTATAATAATATAATTATTATAATTATAATAATAAGATTGGCTTGCAGACTTATGCCATCGATAGTACATCTGTTAAGTAACTGACATCAATTGTAATAGTAATTTATTTTCAGACCACCAACTTACTCCGGGTTCTTTGTGGATATGCCTTAGACTATGAATCATATCAAAGTCCAACCTCTCTGTCATATTTTGGAATTAATTTCCATTGTTGGTGTCGCATGTAAAATCATTTCCTACAACTCCCAGGGACGATGTATATAACTATGTTTTATCACAAGTCGCGAAATACACTCCAGTAAGTGAGTTCACGGGGTCTTCGTCTGCTCCTCACTGGATTTTAGTAACTAAAAGATCCCACTACTGGTCGACATTCATGAAAATCACAAAGATTAAGTTCACAATTTCTTTGTTAACGAATGAGGTTGGCTGACTGTATCGCAAACATTCTGGACTCATGGCTGAATTCAGTAGACTTGCCTAACAAGCAGAATACCATGCACAGTAGCAGACGTGGAACAAGAGGAAAAGGTTGGGTAACAAAATATTTAATTTTTTCATCAATAACGAAACAGCACCGCAGGTTTCTGTCAGTGAAGTCTGTAAATAAGCGTTGGTTCAGTGTGCAATAATACTTCGCATAGTATTTCTTCATCCTCTGACAACCAGTGTACTTTTGAGCCAGGGTAGTCTTCTTATCTCCTGTCAAATGGAAACCGTTTCGATAAACAAACGATACAGTATTCGCCAATATTGGGAGATGCCTTAATAATTTTAACAGTAGGTTTTATTTTCTTGCGAGATTTCCCTTTGACATGTTTCACAATGTTGTCTGATGAGTACGAACGCTGCGACCACCTATATTTTCTTCCTTTTCTACAGGTAGTCGCCTACTCCAGGTGTTATTCTTGATATGGACGTGCACGCACGGATGGTATTCACCAAATATTCACTACAACACAAAAGTATGCCGAAAGGAAGCAGACAGTCTTTAAATATTCATTATACAGTTTACCTTGCAGCCTAATCCTTGGTGTTTGACAACTTTCCAGGCGTCTCACTCGAAAAAATGCACTGACGAGCAACACACACATACTTGTGACCCTCGTCTAAGTTTGACTGCACTTAAGGCGAAATTAGTATGAGTATGAGGTCCATATTGTCAGCAGGTCATAAGGTTCTCACTTTCTGAATGTCTTTAAATGTATTTTCAACTTAGACCTTGTCAGCCAATTCTCAGTAACTATCAATGTCCAGATCTTACTACACTGGACCTCACGCTCTCCCTCGAAATCTTTCAGAAACAATTGGTAATAACCAACGTGAAAAACCAGAACACAGATTGGCGACTCGAGAATCCTTTATTCTTACGCCAATATGTAACCAACAATAGGGTTATTACACACAAGGTCTAAGAATAAATGTTATAACAATAAATCACGATAATACTTCTGATAGTTTTTATCTTCCACTCAACAGCGAAGGATGAGACGATGACTGATGGATAGATGACTCCTGCGAAAAATATGGAGGAGTTGGGTTTGAGCGAACAACTATGAATTGATCGCTCAATCTTAAACTACATTGACACTCCCTGGCAAAAATGGGATCCATCCCTTTTTTATCACGACAAATACACTTTGACTTGGATGCCATTGCGACAACCTGGGTCACACGGACAAGGCTGAAATGGAAAACAAACAGCAAAGCCAACATACCACAGGTATACCCACAGCACAATGACACTCACCGATGACGACCTACGCCTTCCAGTTAAAGGAATCCACTTGACATCTTGCAACACAATCTCCATTTGCTAGAATGAATCTTCCAGAAAGCAACGGGACCATAACAGCATCTCATGATACTCTTTGCACATCCTCTTATCTACTCACTACCAATTACCACTGCGATCGCTTGTCACCCATTCTGCCTCAGTTCTAGTAACGGTGACGTATGCAATCCTCAGTCGTCTACACTCTCACTGTTCGGCGCGTGGGACCACAGATAATCCTTACCTCCGTGTGCGTGTCATTCTCAGAAATAGCCTCCACGGAGTATACGACCCATCTGCTGTCTATAACATCAATCAATTCATTCACGGATGTAGAAGACTCGAAACAACTTCAGAAGTAAGCACGACGAAAACTTTAACAAAATTATGCATTACAACAAAGTACGAAAACAGCAGGTAAACACAATGGATCCAAAAACATCAATTGATACGACACACCACACATATATACAAACAGTACACACAAACTCGTGGATCATATATTGATGGAATTCCTTTGAAGAATCGCAGGACTTACACCAGTACGCCTGCAACCCTTCAAAGGTTGACGATTGTAAGTTGTGGAATGTCCGGACACAAACAAGATTATTCAACAATTACGATAATTGCAACTCACACAACTATTCATCACAAACATATGAACAATCACTACATCAAATGTTGTGGATTCCGGCATGACAAACTACCCTTGAAGAACTGTAGGACTTACAGCAGTACGCCTACGTTCCTTCTCAGGTTGATGATCCAAGTGGAAGTCGTTCGGACACAAACAGAATTACCAACAGCTAGATGACAGATGATATCAATTCAGTATATACAATATGAACATATGTACAAAATCATACACCAAGCACATTGGACTGCTCATTGATGCGCTACCCTTTGAAGAATTGTAGGACTTACAGCAGTACGCCTACAACCCTTCTCAGGTTGACGCCCTAGGTTGGAAAATCGTCGCAGAGTTCATTTGCTGACTTCCTTCTATCAGCTATATCCTCAAATCTGAACGGCAACACGCTCATGTCATTGTATCGTAGAATACAGATGACGAACAAACACACGACGTATCTGTCCAACCAAGCGTAGGCACAGAGTAATTTACACCAAAGTTAATAGCATTCAATTAGTAACTTGAAACTAGAAATGCCTTTATTCATGCAAGTCAATTTAACAATTACTCTCTCGTTTACACTTGGCTTATTCTCACTAAACTGAGCAATATCTTTCGTCTTTTCAAACGCACCAATACTATCATAGTCATTGCATAAGGCACGTGAGTTCATGGAAGTCCATTTCATTGTGGATGAAAACACCAACGACGACTGATTGATATCAGTTGATGAAGTTAGCGGTGGATCAGAAGCTGTTCTTTTTCGGCTTTCAGATAGTTGTCTAACTGCAAGATTACCACCACTGCTGTCATTTACTATCAGCTCAGGTTTAACACTAGCATCTGATGATAGGTGGGCTACATGCTGATCACTCACACTGACGGTCTGACAAGTATGCTTGCCTTCTTGAACTGCATCTGCGTTTATTTCTACTTCACGTTCAAGTTGTACAGAACTTTTGTTCAACTCAGCAGTAGTAGGCATATCTATCATCTCATCATGATCAACCAAAGACAACTGTGAAGTATCATGATCATTATCACGAATATTCACTTTACCGTCAACTTCATCATTTTCAAACTCTTTAATAACAGAAGTAGACAATTTTGGTTCCTCCTCGCAAATCATTAAAGGTTTTGTAACTTCACTCTGACTAGTTATACTTTGTAAACTTTTGGAGTCAGAACTGCACTCTGAAGCAGTAACTCTATTCTGTGACACTCTATTCAACAATGGTTTACCAGTTGCAACTACAGACTTCTTGACCGCACCGTTATCGTCACACAATTCGGAGTCAGACCTGGAGTTTACATTTAGCTTATCACTGAACTTGCTCACTGGTTCACAGTTCACTTCTGTATGCACCTCTTGCAAACGTGTGAAACACAACCGTGTTTGTCTTGCATCTTGTAACTTATCTGTTGAGGATGTACTACGAAACCTGTTACACTCACTAGGTCTATATGCATTACTAGACATCATGGAGCCTTCTCGATATCCACCTCTCTGAGGCCTACTCGTCATCAATGATTGCATTTTGATCTCAGACTGCTCTATTCTAGGGGTGAGATGTAATAGACTGGCAAACTTGCTCATAGATTGATTGACACTATCTTTTACCAGTTTCAGGATATCATCAAACTTTGGCTCGATACCCTCATCCTCCATACGGGAGCTTATCTTCACCCACTTCCTTTGCAGTCGAGTAGGTAGGCGTCTTGCTATTACTTCTAGTATAAAACTCGAGTTGAGGTCACTCATGCGATTCATCGAAATCATTGCATTCTTGTAAATTAGCAAATTATCTAAAAACTCAGTGAGTGCCTGGGAGTCATCCTGTAATTGACCACCATTACCCTTAACAGCCTCGAATAATTTCCCTGCAATCATCGAAGGTCTTCCAAACCTTTGACGTAATATGCTCATAGCCTCGTAGTAGCCCTCTTTTGGCTTCATAAACTTACAGCACTGTATAGCTCTTGAAGCATCTCCAGTGCAATACCTCATCAAATACATTAACTTCAATTCATCAATTAATA